GTAATAACACGGACACTCTGTATTTATGTATCAGGTGAAGAAAAACCCACACAGTCATACAGTCTCTATCTACAAACAGCCTGTGCCGTAGCCCTGTGTGTAGCAGGCAATCATTGCTAACAMAGTGTCGGGGTTTCCCGAATAGTCCAGAACAAAAAGAAAAGGAAAACTATCGGTTCCAACTACCAGTGGTCCAACGCTAGAAACAATGACTAAGTACTAAGTGGTCCTAGGTTCAGTCAACCCAGGTCYCGTAGGGAACCATCAGAAAATAAAACTAAAGGGTAACTAATATGCAGATCCATATATCGAAGCCCTGCGAATACAAGTCCTTCCACGSAGGTATAGAAAAAACGAAAAGATACAAAGCATGCAGATACGGGGATCGAAACCCAGCTASTACCGGTCCCAGTCCGCGTCAACAAGGTAATCTAATATGGAGACCCAAGTATCGAATMCMTGTGGATACAAGTCCCTTTCCACATGGGTACAGAAAAAACAAAACAGAACAATACATGCAGATACAGGCATCGAAACCCGGCTGATACAGGTCCCTGTCCGCATAAAAATCGTGCCATGCAGATACCGGTGCCTGTTAGTACTTAAAACAACTAGTTCTATCTGAAAAAGTCAACACAGAGCAACCCTACCGTACATGGTACCAGCATTAGGCCTATACTGGTACTAAGAAAAGTGAGACATCAAGGCAGCTGTGTATTCCCAAATCTCGTCACGTTTCCTGGCGAACCTCGTGAGGACTCGCATGAAAAATCTGTGTGGAAAACCCTTTAACCTCAGTTCCTTCTTCAAGCTCAGTACCCTGGTGGGTATCTCGGAGCGTATCGAGGTGTTCTGGTCAATGCGGTGTAGGTMMCTCCCTACAATCGCACTCCTCTGTCTTTTACATCCCMAGGATTGAAACGATTGACCAGTTTGGATCTCTWGTATTTCGTCCTTCAACATACTCACCTCATTCTTCGACATCTGCAYGCATCCGACATACGGGTAGGTASTGTCTGCRTGTAYWYTGCRTCCCAGGAAGTCGAAACTTTCGGAACCATCATCTGTCCGCTTCAGACACAGATTATTYGGGTAGCAGTCCTCGAATTCTTGCTGCACTGCCTTMACCTCCTTTGGTCGCATCCCACATGTAATCAAAACCACATCGTCAATCAACCTGATCCCGAACACATTCCTCCTACGGACTCCCAGACTTCCTAAAACTTATACTCCACATGAGCACACATGATGCATGCAAGGGGCGGAYTTCTGCTCTTCCCCATGGGGATGCCAACGTCCTGTTTTAAAAGAACCCCTGTAGCATATGTGTACGTGTGTCGAAGTTCAAGACACACAAACTGCACAATATCCCGGATCTCGATCTTTCTCCAATGATCACACCCTGTCGTCAAGCCAAAGCTGCACCCTTTCCCTCTGCTATTCACTCGCACAAACTCCCTGCCTTTTCCTCTGTSATATGASGAGATCCAATCGACGACATCCATAATCTCCTTATGAGGTAACCGACTAAACATCTCCTTGATGTCGTCGTATGACATCGCATTCACCCCGTATYYTCTCYYCCTCCCMGCCATCTTACGGTTGACTCCTGTAAGGCGGTCTACCAAAAAGGAYACGCTTTGCAGATTRAAATKCCACTCTTTGRGCAARGAGAARAGCAGGTGATTCAGGGCTTTAGCAACCAGACGCCCGGTCTTCACCATGGRCTCGTTGAAGGTCGGSHAAATGGGTCTGTATSTGGTGATGTCTTTCTGCTTTGGTAAYACATAAGCAGACCATARCTTCCCTTTCCTATCCCATCTGGCCATACGCTTYAGTCCCATTATCTGCATTTCTGCTTTCATTCCCTCAAACACATCTTCCTTCGGTTTACAAACAACACTGTATCCTTCATTCATTACGAAGGTGGACATCATCANAGTCCCATTATCTGCATTTCTGCTTTCATTCCCTCAAACACATCTTCCTTCGGTTTACAAACAACACTGTATCCTTCATTCATTACGAAGGTGGACATCATCACTTGGAAATACATCTTTGGGCAAATCACCAGGGTTTTGCCTGGATTACGATCGAGTGGGGTGCATACCAAACCATGCAACTGCCTTTTCACATCSAAAACATCAGTGACGGTGAGATAGGATGTCCTATMCTCACTCTTACTCACAAAGCATCGGTCCARCACAGCCTTATCCACATTAACCTGCTGATCTCGGTAGTTCAAACTTAAGCTAAAGCTCTGCATGACTTCGTGATGGAGCAAAGTAATCTGATCACAGACATGMGGCATAGGAATGTTCTTAGCGTTAGCAAGCAGAGGTAACTCATCGCASAACGCGCAAAGGCGTACGCRCACGTGACCTTCCACGCGAGGGAAAGGTAGATCTGCACAGTTGCACATTAACACTTTACAAGCGGCATACTGCCGTTGATTGTGCAAGATGTCCCCAACGGACTGGTTCTTAGTCCAGATGAGGCGGACCTTCTTACGTGCKCGAGCCTTAAAACACGCTGGCAACTCACWGTCCATAATCATATCATTAATAACCTTCCTAAGCTYAGATAGCTTAATTCTGTCATCAAATTTTACTCTAACAACCAGGTCAACGCTCAGGCTTAACTTGAATCGATCCTTGAATACCCTCTGCAACAACCTATGTAGGTACTTCCGAGTCGATTTTCGGCTAAAGTTTTTAATCACTGAGTATAGCCGTAAGACTGACCGCATATTCCAACTGTACACCTCTTTGAGCTTCCGAGGATTATTCAAAATTCCAATCAAAACCAGCTTGAGTGCTTTGCATCTAGGCTTCCAAATCCTCAGGTGGGTGAATCGAACCACTCCCCCATTTTCGAAATAGCTCTTAGCAAATTTCAGACGAAGGGTCAGTCCATTAATTTCGACGTCACTTTCGCCAAACAATCTTCGAATCTTCTTCGACGGTGTGTGCCAAGTGTTTCCTCTATCACATTGGAGGTCAAACGGGAGTGGGTTTGGGGAACGATGGAGTTGTAAGGGGATGAAGGCCAGAGGAAACCCCTTGAAGACACACTGTGGCTGGTGTCGAAACGCGGCGTCGTGGACGCCCCACCTGTATTGTGCTGCTTTGTAATATTTGAACGCTTTACTTTGTCTCATGTCGAAATTACGTGAGTGATGTTGTGCATGAAGACGTGTTTGCTTTCATATTCTGTGAACCTGCATACCGCGCGTGTGAACACTTTCGGAGTCGCTTTACCGAAAKGGGTGAACACGTAATCGTCCTGTACGACTGGTGTTTTGAAGTTTGACTATGCTATCRAACTTTGGAGTTTTCGAGGAAGTGAATTTTGTCAGTTACGAGTTGGGTTACCATGTCGAATGAACAGCGAGAGAGCGGAGGTGGCCATGGAGGTAACCAGGAGAGAGGGCCGTGGAGGCCTCCAGTTACTTGTTACGCATGCGGTGAGGAAGGATACTATTTGACGCAGTGCATAAACCCGAGACCGGGTTGGCGAGGGGCTCATCAATCAAGACCGTCCAGCTCCTCAGACTCCAGGCGAGGGAGATCGTATTCACCACGTAAGCATTACAGAGGATCTACTTCCGAATATCGCGAAGTATAATCCCAGGTGAAGGAGATTAGAGATAGCGTGGCGACACTGCGTGAGTATATCGAAGCCGACCGAGCTAAGAAAGATGCAAAGGCTCGTAAGAAAGCCGAAAAGAAGGAAGCGGGGCGCATTGTGAAAGAGGAGAASGAAGCTAGGGAGCGCAAAGCTAAAAAGAAGGCGGAGAAAGCKCKGGAGGAGGAAGAGAGAGTTGCGGCAATACGTAAAGATATGGATCTACATGTCAAGCTTACAGTGAAGGAAACACTCAATGGAGCCTGCYYCGASTTCCGGGATGCTTTCATTGCTGCTAAGCTCCACGAGAAGATGAAGGGGAAACAGAAAGTGAACTACGTACCGGATGAGGAATTCTCCGATTACGAATTCGTGAGMAGTGATACGGAGGAGATACGCGAACGGATGCGGGGTCTAAGTATTAATGAAAAACGGAAGAGAGGGCCGGATCCTGTCTTCGAGGATAGCCCTCCCATGGAGTCGCCGACGAAGAGGACACCGAAGCGTACACCGAAGAGGGGGATTCCGAAACCGGTGAAGCTTACACCAAGGTTCACTCGTTCGAAGTCCAAGGCGAAGATAAAACTCTCCYCAGCAACCAAGGAACGATTCACGTCAGCAGTGAAGCGAAAGATTCCCACTACGATGGGCAAGATTGGCCGGTACAAGTTCAGGGACGAGGTGATGCGACTGCTCAAAGACCACGACGCGATTACTCTGCAGAACCTTTGCGTCGAGGAAGGGATTCAGTATAATGGTAAGATTGATGCGATCTTTAACTAAGCGGAGCACAGGACTTACACCGCCTATGGTACCGACGAAAGTGGATCAAAAATCTCCAAAACACCAACGCGGTCACCATAAGAGATGTAAGGTCTATACCGGAGGCTGATCTACTTGCGGAGGGGTCGGCAGGACGTTCAATCTACTCGATCTGCGATCTCTTCTCGGGCTATGATGAAATCCCATTGGACTATAGGGATAGGCATATGACCGCGATGCACACACCTCTGGGGCTAGTTCAAATGATGGTAGTACCCATGGGGTGGACCAACTGAGTGGTCGTATTCCAAAGGGTCATGATCGCAGTCCTCAAGGAATTCATACCGGACAAAGTGGAAGTCTTCCTTGATGACTTCGAAGCAGGGAGCCTCTTCATGCCCGCCTAAGAGGGGGTATAAGGTTCGGAAACCTCCCCTGCCAAAGAACCCTAGAAGGAAGAAACGACCAAGGGAGGAGGAGGATGATAACAACCAATTAGGGAAACGCGGAGTAAAGGAGAGAAGGATCGCCTCAAGGAAAGACTTGAGAATCAAGCGTGAGAGAGAAGAGAGAAAGCGAAAAAGAGAAAGGCGCGATAAAAAGATGAGGAGACGGAGACGGATATAGAATCGCTTGGGGGAAAGGGGGGTGTGATATACCATAGTTAGAGAAGCATGTATCGTAGTTCTGAGAAGGGTGATGTATCGTAATTCCGAGGGGAATGTTGAACCATAGTTAGAGAAAACATGTGTCGCGATTCCAAAAGGAAGGATGTGCCATAGTTAAGAGAAGCATGTATCAAAGGTCCAACGGTGGGAGACAAAGGGGGACTGTGCCATAATGAGGCAATGCGGCTAGGAAGAAAAAAAAAAAAAAAGGGGGGGGCGAGGAACTAACGAGGGGGAGTGCGAACCGTGGGAACGAGAAAAAATACGTTAAAGGGATAACCATTGTGTATGAGGCAAGGGCTAAGAAAAAGAGGGCTATGGGAAAGCTCGTCGGGGACGGCGAGAATTGGGGTGTGGGCTGGTTGTCGGGCGGATGCCTATCAGCCGGGCTCGCTCTCTCTACCGGACATGTTTTTTTTTCCCATGCTTCCTTTGTTCTTACATGATCGGGAGTGTGAGTGCGAGAAGCCTGAGGGGTTTGGGGGAAAATTTTGGTCTTTCTGTTTTTATACTAACGTTGGAACAGGCAGAAATGGAGGCGGTCAATATAAGGCCGTAAGCGGGGCCAAGAGCGGACCGAAAGTCTGAGATTTCGACGAGAGACGCAAGGGAGTGCGGGGACGACGGCGGGTGTTGGGACTGAGCAGGAGGTGGGACGTATGAGTTGGCTGCTGGCAGCGGTAGGTCTTGCTCCAATGAAGAAGGGAACTGCAAAGCTTTCGGGAAAAGAACGGTCGGTTTTCTGCACGGCTACAGGCGTTATCAAATATGCAGGAGGCTCACGGTGGCTGCGCAGCGAGGATCGACTCTATGCGATATGTGACTTGGCCCTGAATGATGGAAAAAGAGGGTCCTGACCTAGAGGTCAACTTGGGATGGATCGTTTCGGGCTGAGAGAGGAGTGGATTGGTTGTGGCTTGAGGGCGCGAGATGGCTGGCTGACTTGGAGGGCGAGCGGCCGCCCAAGCAGCATCGGGTGGCCGAAATGGAACCTCGAACGCACTGAAATCGACAAAGAGGGGGAGCGGGGGAGGGCCCCGCATGAGGGGGTCAGAGGTGGGAAGAAGACACCGACAAAACGGGAGCAGGCTTAACCATATGAGGGCTACCTAAGCAACACGCCTACGAAGACGATCCGACTACAGAGCAAGCGAGAGATGGGGTTGGCTGGCAAGAAAGATGAGGAAAGGAGATCTGTTGAGCGCAAAACGAACGAGCAAGAGGGGAGAGTCTCCGGCGGGAGAGCCAGAAAGGTGGCGCTAGGTGGTAGAGAGGACTTGCGCATACGGTTCTTGATAATCGTCCGAACGAAGGAAGCATTAGGGGGGGGGGGGGCTTTTGTACTGATCTTTGGACAAGCTCGCAACCAAGGCCGACGCGGACAGAAGACCTGAGACTTTGGGGAAGCATTTGGATGGGAAAAAAAGGCAGCCTTAAGGCAAAGGGGAGGAAATTTGGATACACGGTGACGGCCAATGGCCTCAGAACATCCAGGGAGGGCCTTGGTTTCTTTCGATCTTCGTGCTAACAGTAGGACAAGCGGGGGAGGCAAACCGATGAAGGGTCAAGAGCGGACCCGGAAACCGAAGAGGCAAGAGTTGTCGGGAAAGGATCCAGAAAAGGGAGGGAGTGGAAACAGTGATTCGAGCCCAGACGGTGCAGCTCACCTAAGTGGGCTGCGCATCAAAATCGAGCAGGGACCCGACCATATGGTATTTCGAAAATTCAGTGAGAAGGCGGGCGCAGCCCTTGGCTTAGAGGCCACCGCAAGGTGGTTGGTACGGGGGCGTCAGGATTGATTCAGCGATGGATCAGGTCACGGGATCGACGCGATGAGATCAAGGGGGGTGGTCAGTCCATTCAGAATGGGGTCGTCCTTCGTGGGGTCCGCACGAGCTCCGAAGCTCCAAATCATCTAAGTACAGTATAGCGGGTTACTCCCTTCCGCCCGAGTTTTCTGTGACATGCCAGATATTGAACGACGAATCACGGTACGGAAGCTACAAACCGCCTGTGCTGCGGTTGGCGGCTCGCAAAGAATCATGAGGCATCAAGATAGCTCGCCCCCTGACTCGGACGAGCGGGAACGTGCCCTCTGAAAGATTTCTTCCCGAGCAAGTGAGAGCACGCTCCTGATTTCTTGATAACCGACCACAGGAGGAGCGTGCATCCAGAGGAGGTGGTTGCAAGGCAAAAGTGGCGGGAGAACGCAGGGTGAAGGAGGACTACGTGAGAAGTGGGCGCGAAAGTTGACCGCCTGCCCACAAAAAGAAGGGGATTTGGACAGAGACTTGCTGAAGATATACTGTCAGGCGATCGACAAAAAGGGAGAGGCGAAAAATTTGGGGCGCGTTCCTTCAAGGGTGATCGATCCGGTGATCGGGGGAGTGGACAACTCCGATTGGGAGGATGACGAGAGCAAGGATAGGAGTGAGATAAAAGTGACGAAAGAAAGCGGAAGCGGGAACTAGAAATTTGGTCGAGAAATTTGAGTTTGGCGCCCAAAAGGGGGAGGTGGGAACTTGGAATGCCTATGGGGAAGGGGGAATGTCAACTATATAAAGGAGGAGGGGGGAGTCGCGAGGGGTGTGAACGAGAGTAGAAGAACGCACGACACATCGCACGGGAGCTCCTCGCGCCCGAAGGGAGGAGGCGCTGGTTGATCGGGGAAGCGGGTTCGGATCGAAAAAGCGAGGTCAGGGACGGGGAGGGCGAGGTATCTTGGTATGCCCGCGTGCGCTCGCTTAGGCACGACCGAGGAGAGAGGCGGAGATAGGAATTCCGGTGACGGCGCAAGACGGGAAAGGCAGCAGCGGAGGGGTCTCAGACCACTCACGAAGGAAGGGACGAAGGCGTTGGCGCCGAACGGCTACCGCTTAGAAGGGCTTAGCTACGGCGGGGGGCACACTGATCTCTGACGTACTCGCTGTCTCACACCGCTCAGACTGCTCTCGTTCCGATAATCGAGTGTGGGAGCGCAGCAGACGAGAAGACGACGAGGAAGGAGGAACAGAGAGAACGGAGGTAAGGCGGGCCCACACATGAGATGATGTCTTGGTCGCTCCCTGTCTGTCCCCGCTAAGGAAGAAGGAGGATAGGAGAGAGGGCAGGCCACGAGGAGCGAACATGAGAACGAGTGCGCTCTAGAGCCAACGCGGGCTCGTGGAGCGAACGGGGGTACTCGGGGACGAAGGTCGCAATCGCACCTGGTCGGTGCCAGAGCAAGAAGGCACCGTCGGCCGCGCGTTCCGCCGCGGCTCGTAGTGAGCCGAACTTGTCAGATCCGGCTCCACCCTCGGCGAAGCGAGCCAGCTTGAGTTGAAAGTTGTCGCGAGTCTTCCGCTTGGGGAACTGGGCGACGCTAGCGAAGGAGGGGTTCCAGAAAGGGTGTGCGCGAGTAAGCTTGCCAGGGGGGTTGGGCGCGGTTGCAAGAGAGAGAGAGAGAGAGAGAGAGAGAGAGAGAGAGAGAGAGAGAGAGAGAGAGAGAGAGAGAGAGAGAGAGATCTTGAACTTACGGGGAGCCGCGTGCGCAAGTGTGCAAGTGGGATAGACAGAGGCGCGAGCCATCCGACAGAGGTAACTTTGGGAGAACGGCGTCTTCAAGCGACCGAACATGATTGGGACAGAACCTCGCACTCGAGCGCGCGCGTGTGTGTATGTGTGTGAGAGAGAGAGAGAGAGAGAGAGAGAGAGAGAGAGAGAGAGAGAGAGAGAGAGAGAGAGAGAGAGAGAGAGAGAGAGAG